TTTTTTTTTTTTTTTTTTTTTTTTTTTTTTTTTCCCCAGTTGTGCTGCAGGCAGGAGAAAGCAATTCAAATGCAGGTGCTGCGAGCAATGCAGGCGGGAGGCTGCTGCTGCGGGGGCATCCCAGTGGGTACCCCGTGCCAGCTCCGCAGAGGAGATGGATGGGGGTGGGAAATGCACGGATTGGGAAAATAATTGAGCTCACAAAAGCTTCCCCATTGGTGGGGGGGGGTCCTAAGGAAGGGGCAATTTGTTTCCTCCTCCATGCCTTGTGCTCTCATTCGTGTTGCAGCAAAGCTGACCCCTTTGTGGATGGATTGCCTTTTTATCTTTTATTTCTACCTTAATGACTGTAAAGGGAGGTTTGACCTGAGCGTTTCCCTTTGCAAGCAATATCTGGTGGGTGATGCTGTCTGTGAGCCCACAAGCTGTTTTTTTTTTTTTTTTTTTTTCCCCAGTTGTGCTGCAGGCAGGAGAAAGCAATTCAAATGCAGGTGCTGCGAGCAATGCAGGCGGGAGGCTGCTGCTGCGGGGGCATCCCAGTGGGTACCCCGTGCCAGCTCCGCAGAGGAGATGGATGGGGGTGGGAAATGCACGGATTGGGAAAATAATTGAGCTCACAAAAGCTTCCCCATTGGTGGGGGGGGGTCCTAAGGAAGGGGCAATTTGTTTCCTCCTCCATGCCTTGTGCTCTCATTCGTGTTGCAGCAAAGCTGACCCCTTTGTGGATGGATTGCCTTTTTATCTTTTATTTCTACCTTAATGACTGTAAAGGGAGGTTTGACCTGAGCGTTTCCCTTTGCAAGCAATATCTGGTGGGTGATGCTGTCTGTGAGCCCACAAGCTGCACCCTCTGCTCTTGGGGACCCTCCCAAGATGGGTCTGGGTGTGACAATGACTCACAGCAAAATGGGAGCATCCCCTGGCACCCCATGGGCTGCACAAGGGTGAGGGGCTGCGAAGGGGGATGGGTCCTACCCTGTCCTTGGCTGCGGAACACTGCTCTGCCTGTGGCGTTCCCATGTGTAAAAGCACTGGTTTTCCCCAAAAAAGATGATGGGATGGATGGTTCCATCCCTGAGCAGTGGGCGATGCTGCTTGGTGTCACCTTGGGCTTTGCTGTCCAGTCCCCGTCCCCATGCAGTGAGTCAGGGTGGCGGGTGGAGGGGTAAAACACCCCCAAAAAGTGGCAATAATTTAGTACTCAGGCTCTGAATTTTGCATCACTTTATTTTTTAATGAAAATTGTCAGTTTTGCTAAAAGGAGGAGGGTTTGAAGAGGTCCCTGTCTTGATGAATCTTTTGAAGATGAGTAGACACAAGATTGTGTTCAGGTCCTGTTGCCGCATCCCCCTCCAGTGCTTCTCCAGGTTTCATTTCACAAAAAACTTTAGTAAACTAACCCAAAAAAGGAGGAGTTTTGTTCCGGAGGGAATGTGGTTTGGGGGAGGACGGCGAGATGTGCTGGGTTTTGTGAGGTAAAGTTCCCTAATTCGTAGATTTTTCTCCGAAACGGAAACATCCTCTTCCACCCCAAAAAAGATGATGGGATGGATGGTTCCATCCCTGGGCAGTGGGCGATGCTGCTTGGCGTCACCTTGGGCTTTGCCATCCAGTCCCCATCCCGATGCGGTGAGTCAGGGTGGCGGGTGGAGGGGTAAAACACCCCCAAAAAGTGGCAATAATTTAGTACTCAGGCTCTGAATTTTGCATCACTTTATTTTTTAATGAAAATTGTCAGTTTTGCTAAAAGGAGGAGGGTTTGAAGAGGTCCCTGTCTTGATGAATCTTTTGAAGATGAGTAGACACAAGATTGTGTTCAGGTCCTGTTGCCGCATCCCCCTCCAGTGCTTCTCCAGGTTTCATTTCACAAAAAACTTTAGTAAACTAACCCAAAAAAGGAGGAGTTTTGTTCCGGAGGGAATGTGGTTTGGGGGAGGACGGCGAGATGTGCTGGGTTTTGTGAGGTAAAGTTCCCTAATTCGTAGATTTTTCTCCGAAACGGAAACATCCTCTTCCATCCCAGCTCTGAAGCCTCATAATTAATGTGAGGTCAGGCATCTCATTAATTACATCCGCACTGAGTGCGACTGTGTTGCCCTCCAGGGAGGGTGGTGGTTGTAGGCTCCTGCATCTCATGATATTGAGACAGCGACTGAAGCGACTTGCAAAAACTTTAGTGAACTAACCCAAAAAAGGAGGAGTTTTGTTCCGGAGGGAATGTGGTTTGGGGGAGGACGGCGAGATGTGCTGGGTTTTGTGAGGTAAAGTTCCCTCATTTGTAGATTTTTCCCCGAAACGGAAACATCCTCTTCCGTCCCAGCTCTGAAGCCTCATAATTAATGTGAGGTCAGGCATCTCATTAATTACATCCGCACTGAGTGCGACTGTGTTGCCCTCCAGGGAGGGTGGTGGTTGTAGGCTCCTGCGTCTCATGATATTGAGACAGCAACTGAAGCGACGTTCCTGTTTCTCTCCCACTCCTCTTAATGCCAGAAATAAAGCCCTGCCCAATGTAATTTTGGGTTTTTTCTTTGTTTTTTTTTTTTTTTTTTTTGATGATGTAAAAGTATTAGATATGTCAAATAATAGTTTAGAAATAAACTAATGTCAACAAAGACCGATGGTTTTAAACTAACTTGTTTATTCACAGAAATCAATTATCATTCCTCATGTTAAAATGCATCTGTGATGCTGCTTGGCGTCACCTTGGGCTTTGCCATCCAGTCCCCATCCCGATGCGGTGAGTCAGGGTGGCGGGTGGAGGGGTAAAACACCCCCCAAAAAGTGGCAATAATTTAGTACTCAGGCTCTGAATTTTGCATCACTTTATTTTTTAATGAAAATTGTCAGTTTTGCTAAAAGGAGGAGGGTTTGAAGAGGTCCCTGTCTTGATGAATCTTTTGAAGATGAGTAGACACAAGATTGTGTTCAGGTCCTGTTGCCGCATCCCCCTCCAGTGCTTCTCCAGGTTTCATTTCACAAAAAACTTTAGTAAACTAACCCAAAAAAGGAGGAGTTTTGTTCCGGAGGGAATGTGGTTTGGGGGAGGACGGCGAGATGTGCTGGGTTTTGTGAGGTAAAGTTCCCTAATTCGTAGATTTTTCTCCGAAACGGAAACATCCTCTTCCATCCCAGCTCTGAAGCCTCATAATTAATGTGAGGTCAGGCATCTCATTAATTACATCCGCACTGAGTGCGACTGTGTTGCCCTCCAGGGAGGGTGGTGGTTGTAGGCTCCTGCATCTCATGATATTGAGACAGCGACTGAAGCGACGTTCCTGTTTCTCTCCCACTCCTCTTAATACCAGAAATAAAGCCCTGCCCAACGTAATTTTGGGTTTTTTCTTTTTTTTTTTTTTTTTTTCCCTCCAGCCTGAAAGCACCGGGTTACTTTCGTCAGTGTCACTGCCATCGGAGGGCACGGGCAGAGAAGTGAAGTGATTGTTGGCACTCGTTGGCGGAGCACCGGTGTGCCCAGACCCGCTCCGCGTGTCCCCTCGGCAGCCGGTGATGACCGACGCGGTGGTGGGTGGCAGCTCTGACCGGTGGATGTGCCCCAGCGACAGGACCATGTCTCTCCGGGCCAGGTGAGAGGAGGGGACCAGGGTCACAGGGATGCTGCTGGTGTGGGAAGGAGGGGAGTCCCTTGGAGGGAGGTGATATGGGTGCAACCACCCTGGTTCCTCCACTGGGGACACTGGGAATTGGGTTTGCACTGGTTGGATGGGGACGTTTTGCCATGGTGCCTCCTAAACCCTCTGAGAAAGGTGGTGGGGATGGACCCATGGGTGTGCATGGACCCATGGGTGTGCATGCACCCCTGCGCTGGTGAGGAGCCCCGTCCATCTGTCAGGATGCCCTCCACCTTGCTGCATCCCACCATGTGGAAGGTCTCCAGCCCGGCTGGATGGGTGGTGGCAGCACCCATGGATGGGAGCTGGTTTTGGGTGCCTGGATGATGCAGGGGCTGGGAAAAACTCATGTTTGGAGCTCACTGCTCTGCACTGCTTTGGAGGAGCAGCAGGGACAGCTGGTGGAGGGGGGGTGTGCTGTTGGGGACTGTCACCCCCTGAGGTGGGGAGAGCGTTGGCTGTGCCCAGGCTGAGCTGTCCTTGTCCCTTCTCTCACCTAATCCTTGTTCCCTCTCTTTCCCTGTGCCTCCCAGCAGCGAGAAGGAGCAGTAAGTATCTCGCTTGGGTTTTTGGTTTTTTTGGCCTATTGCTCTTTACCTGCTACTGGTATGGTCTTGAGAACACAGGAAAATCTTGGCCCTGGATGCAAGAAAAAAAAACAAAATAATTTATTTTGGGACGCCTTCTATAGAGTTTTTAAGGTTTGAAGGTTTAAGACTGAATTTTAAGGTTTAAGTGCAGGTCTGCTCAGCGCAGGGGAGAAAGACCTGGGGAAGGGCTTTAGATGAGCAGGACGAGGGGAGAAGGGATATTTGCCTGTTGTGTCCTTCGTTAGCATTGCCCCTCTGCCGCCTGCAGGGCTGAGTGGCAGACATTATGGTGTCAGCAGGTTAAAGCTGCCTGATGGCCAGGCTCTGCTCACCCTGCGAAAGGATCTCTGGAGATGATGTTAGGAGAGGAAAAGCTCCCATGTTTGATGAAATGCACCCAAAAACCACCCACTTCTGCGGCCATCACCGCAGCTCACTGGGAAACCCGATGTTACCCGACAGGGAGCAGGGTGCAAAATTAGCCATGTCAATTAATGCTTAACATGGAAATCTTTTTGAAAAGGAAATTGGTTTTCTCCTTGCAAAACAAGTGTTTCCATATGAACCCTCCCCCAAAATGGAAATAAGAGCTTCCAGCTGGTGGCTGGGGGCCGTTTGCAGGTGTCCTGCTAGAATAGAGGTTGGAGGTGCAGCATATCCCTTCTTCCCTGGGCTTGGGAATTGGCTATGGCCCTCACGCATGTGTGATTGCCCACACGCACGTGTGACTACACACGTATGATCTGTGGACAAAATCCTCTCCCCACAGGCTCCCCGCTGGCTGGGGGGCACGGGGTGGCCAGCCCGACCGGCAGCGCAAGGGCGAGGAGCTGACGGACGAGGAGAAGGAGATCATCAACCGAGTCATCGCCCGGGCCGAGAAGATGGAGGAGATGGAGCAGGAGCGCATCGGGTAAGGCGGCGGCGGTGGCACCGGCACCACCATCCTGGTGGGGACGGGAGGGACCCTGAGCCTTTAGTGCCCAGCTCAGCCCAAACCACGGCAGGGGGTGAAGCACTCGCTTGGCTGCTTTCCTGGCCGGCAGCTACTGCACTGCAGTGTTTCTCCTGAAAGGGAGCCTGCGGGGGATCTTTTTGAGCCGGCGTTGGTCCTTGGCCAGGAGGAACCTGTAAGCAGGGGAGGGAGCTGCTCGGCGTGCTGCTGTGTTCTGGACCAAGAATTTATCGTCTCATTGATTTCCTTTTTTTTCCTTTTTGGTCCAGAAGGGATCATTAATAACATCTTATTTAGGGGAGTGAAGCTTCTGCTGCTTGCCCGCTCCTGAGCTCCAACACCCTTGAGCACGGGCAAAGCCACGGCTCACCAAAAGGTGTTTTGTCTTGTTTTGGGAGCACAGATGGATCCATCACCCCCTCCGGCCGTGTGTCCTGGCAGTTGATCCCTCCTGCCAGCCAGAAACAGGCTGTCTGTGAAGCTGAATAGGTCTGAGTGATGCCCAGCCTGGGGGCTGGCCACGCGTTGGGACCAGCTCCTGGGGGGGCTGGTGCTGCCCCAGCTGCATCCGTGGTGGGGTAGGAGGGAGCCAGCGTGGAGCAGAGGGCAAGAAGTGCCCGTGTTTGCTTTTAATGTATCTCTACCCTGCCTGGGCAAAGGTACCAGGCGAAGCAATACTGCTAATTAGGTATCGACGAGCTGTGCTGGGGATGGTTTTCCGGAGGGGGATCTCCATAATCCCGTTTGTCAGGCGTCATGCCTTTTTTCATTACAGCAGAGCGTTTTATTCTTGCTGAGCTTCAGCATCGACTGCTTTTTTTCTTTCTTTTTTTTTTTTTTTTTAAATTTTAACTTGCAGGGAAAATGCTCAGGCCCAGGCAGGAGCTGTGCTCGCTGCTGCCTGGGAGAATGTCAAAGCCCCTCTTGTAGCTCGGGGACAGCTTTGCTCAGCAAACAGGCGCGTGGTCCTGCGGGGCAGCTGCTTGGTGAAATGCAGAGAGGACCTGCCTGGACCTGCTGAGCCTCACACCACAGCCAGAGCTTTAATCCATCACCCCGGCTGCTTAATAACTCTTAAATATTGGGTATACATTTGCCATGAAGGCACGGGGTGCTTCAGCTTCAGCACACGATCTTCCTTGGTGGCTGCAGACAGTGGCCTCCAAAACGGTGGATTTTTTTACTTGTTTTTAGAAATACTTTGTGAGGAGCGGGTCTGTGAACAGCGTAGGAGGTGTCGCCTCGATGGTGGCTGTTTGTGCTGCCCTGGGCTCGGCGTGTGCCCTGTGGAAGTGCTGCTCCCCTGGGTGCAGGGTGGCTCCCCGGCTGGCACTGCCTTGAATTACGTGCAACGCTTTCCTCTCCCGGCTTCCCAGCAGAAACCAGGTGAAAGCAGCTATGAATGGTGGTGATTCATTCCCCAAAAGTGCTTAGAAACAGCATTTCCCCAGCTTTGCCAATTTGCAGCCTGGTAGGAATTAATCTCGAACACGATGCTCTTTGGATTATGCTTAAATGAACTTTGGCAGTGGGGAAGAGATTTATTTTTTATTTTAATTTTTTTTTGCATTGTGCATTCCTGCAGAAACCTCTCTCCCTTTCGTCAGCCGAGTCAGAGGAGGTTTTTCCTCCTCATTCATGAAAAAGCTGGGGCGGAGGACGCGGTGCGGTGCCGGGAGCGGAGCAGGGGAAGGCTGGCGGATGCGCGGTGGCAGCTGATTTCCCTCCCGCCCGTGGGCGTAGCGGGAGCCCTGCCAGCTCCTTTGTGTTTGTTGGCTTGCACAACAAGGGCTGTAGGATGTGCCGCTACAGAAACAGGGGAGACAGAGCCCGTATCCCTCTCGTACAGAGTCAACCGTTCGGGCGCTGCTCGGACGTTATCCAGAATAGCTCCTTATATTACAAAATAATCTGGGTTTGCCAGGCGGGGACACAGCGGTTGTGATAGTGTCCCTCGGTCGGATAGGCTTCTCTAGGGAGCTGGCCCTGGAAAGCCTGATTTTCTGCAGTTTTCTGGGATTTTTGTATTCCTATAAAGGGTGAGGGGAAAGGAAGATCTATTAAAAACCAGTTTTGGTTAATTTAAGGAATAGCTTACATGAAATGAATGCACCTCCCTCAAGGAGAACATGCAATAAATACTTGGAGTTGTCTTAATAAGTGGATGTGTTTTGAGGGGGTGGATTTGAGTTTCTCAGATAGGCTTTGTGATTGCTCAGGTACTACAGCTGGGTGCTGGCTGCAGATGGACCTCCTCGTGCCTTGAAATCCCTCCTGATTTAGTGCCCAACCATCTCCTCCTTCCTTCTCCTGCCCTCTTGCGTCCCCTCTCCCACATCCCATGTCCCACTAGCACCTTACCTCAGCTGGCCAGGACAGGGTGAGAACAAATCGATGCTGCTTGTTGAGAAGATGTTTGTGGAATTGGACTTCATGTCAAATCCAGCTCAAATTAATCTAGTGAAAGAGTATTTTTAGCACCGGGGGTGGACGGAGGCCCGTGAGATACGTGATCTGGATGCTGATGAAGATTGTAGGACAGGGACACTTTGGTTTGTGTTTTGGTTTTCTTTTTTTTCTTTTTTTTTTCTTTTTTGGCCAGGTCATTGTCTCATAGCACAGAGAAGGATAACAGGAGCTGAAATCATCTTAAGCAGCGATTCAGCAAGAGCTCATTGGGCGTGAGCTGGAGGACTTTACAACTGCCGGGGGATTAGGATAATCCTTTGGGCCAGTTTGGGACACAGGGGCTGAAAGCTGGTGGACAAAGAGGACCTGTGGAGGGATGGATCCATTCTTGTCCCTTCTCCTTCTTGGTTTGTGCTCAGGGGTTCCCTGCGGTGCTTCTGTGCCATCTCCTGCCATGGATCTCTGGTGGTGGTGATGGTGAGGCTCCAGACACCATGCACAAGGAGCCTGTTCCTCCCAGCTGACGTGGGAGCACCTGCAGACACTAATTTGCTCCGTTATGCACCTATAATTGGCTGCCATCAATAACCCACCAAGTCTGCTCTGCTGCCTAATGAGGTCCAGCGTGCTCTCAGCATCGGAGGAAATATCTTAAACCATCCAAAGTTAGAAACTGCCATTTCTGGAGAGCACCTTGCGGCACGGAGCTGGTTCTCCCAAGGGTGATGTGACACATCACTCCTGGATCTGGCCGTGCCCCTGACTGGGTGCAGTTATTCCCTTCCCTCTGCTCTCCTCTAAAAGTGTGCTGGTTTGACTGTCTCCCCGTGGGTCACAGCCCCTCACCTTTCCTCTGAGAGGACCAGCTATCAAGCAGGATTGCATTTTAATTTGGCTGCTTATTGCTGGGATGACACATGCATAATGCTGGAGCAGATGGCTGAAGTCACTGGGGATTAAGTCATTAACCTCCGTGGCCAGCAGCAGAGATGCTCTCTGGGGACCACAGGCTCTTATTTTCTACTTCGTGTTCAGGCAACACAAAAATAAAAATAGGGGCCAGGAAGAGCAGGGTAGTTGCTGGAGGCAGACAGCAATCTCTCCTGAGATGCCTGCTTCTAGAAGAGATGAGGTTAATTCATGGCCAGAAGACAGCTCGCGCGTTTCCTGAATTTTTGTGGGGTTTTGGTTTTGTTCCCCTTCCCCTCCCTCCCCCCCCCAAAAAAACCCCAAACCCCGTCCTCCTCTAATTTCTGAGACTGGGATGAAACTGCAAAATAACAGCCCTCCTGTAACACATCACAGGAGGCAGCAAGTACCCAGAGTGATGGACTCTCATGGGACGGGGTACTTGGAAATGCACGAGTCCCCCTGCCCTCCTTGGGCACCTTCCCTCTGTAGTGAGGGCTCTCAGCAGAGGACGAGCTTTGAAACTCGACCTGTAAAAGCTCAAATCATGTCTTACCTTTAGTTACCTGTGCGTTCGTAAGGGAAGAAAATTACTCCTAATATTTCATCCTGATTTTAATTATGTTTTCTTTAATCTGTAGCTTGGTTCCTTTTCTTGTCTCTCTTATATCATTGAAATTAGCCTTAATTTAATATTCAGCCCTTTAAGGCACATGATTTCCCCACGGAGCCATGTCAGTGCTTAATTCTGGAGGCACTTTGTGACCTCCTTTGTGTTTTACTTTAATTTCTTTTTTTTGCCATGTAAGTGATGGCTGAGTCCTTCCCCGTTGGTTCCTGCGTGGGGCTGGAGAGAAGGTCCTTCCTCTCAGGTGGGGTCCCTCTCCCACCCCCGCGCAGCGCTGCGGTGTCTGCTGCATTAAATGTCCTCCGCCACGCGGTTAAAACCCCATTAGGCAGGTCTTTAGCCATTCATTTCTGCCGAGTGGCAATGAATATTTAAACACAACAAACTCTTGCCTGCCTGCCCCGCTGTTAAGTCCTGTTTCCCCAGTTCATCAGCACTTCATGCCAGTGACTCTCTGTCCCTCTCTGGTCCTGGCGCAGGAGAAAATGCCGATGCTGTAGGACTGAGATGGTCCCTCAGCCTGGGAGATGTTTGCAGGTCTTCCTCCCAACGCCAGCCTTCCTCCTGGGTATGAGCAGGGGAGGGAAGGGGAGGTCTCCCCCCAGCCCTCGCTGCCCCGGGGCTGCTCGCCTTTCTCTTCCAACCCCCGTATTTATGGGGCCAGGCAGATATTATATTATCAGGGGACTGTTTTATTGCCCTTATTCATCTCAGGTGCCCATTAAGCATTTCAGATATAGAATACCGCCCAGTTCCTATATCTTGCTCCCATCAGTGACTAATACATATTTCTTTGGCAGATGACGGATGCTCTCCCTCTCCACGGGGCTGGCTCCGGGAGCGACGATGCTCCTGGGTGCTGGACTCAGCCAGCTCCAAGCCACTGGCTTCAATTACTCCTCTTTTGGGGCTTTTTTTTTTTTTTTTTTAGCAGCCCATCTTCAGCTGGGCATCTCTAAATCTGCATGACAGGTGGTGCAAACACACTGGCATGTATTTTCTGACGTTTGGGGCTTTTTTTTTTTTTTTTTTTACCCTATTTTAACAGTTTGAGGCATATTTCCTGCTCTTTGAAGTGATTCTTTACAGAGGCCAGAGGGATGGGCACTTTGAAGTGCGCATAATGGTAAGGAAGATGTTGCTCTAGTCCTGGAGACGTGCAGGGGAGAGCGATGAATTGGCTGGCTATTTTATGTGCAATAAAAATGATATCTAGGGGAGAGAGGGAGAGAAAAAGCTTTTGGGAAGGCAGAAAGCTCATTCCTGGCTGCTTCCCTGGGCAAGAGCAAGGCATTCCACCAGTTATCAGTGGGTGAACAGCCTGTGTGGGGGGCTCCAACATGTGTGTAGGGTGGTGCTGGATGAAGTCAAAGAGAAACCTGGGCTTTTTGCTCCCAGTTATCCCCTTAATCAGGAGCTTCCCAGCCCCTGGGTCTCGGCGTGGTACCCCCTTTTCCCAGGTCCTGCCCTCTGATGTGAACCTGGCAGAAAGGACTTAAATATTAATGTTTTGTAGAGTCCTCTCATGACAGCGTTTGAATTAGGGGGAAAAGAAAAGCCTGGTTTCTCCAGCTTGAATGGATTTTTTAATTAGGCAAAAGTGCTTTGCTTGGAACTGGTGCCACAGGTGTGTGTACTGGCTGCTGCAGCTCTTCCACTGGTTTAAAAAAAACCTCTTAAGGAGCTCCTTCTGGTAAATGAGAGACTGGGAAAGATTTTGCAGCTAAATAATGAATCTCTTGACGTGCAAAAGCTTTTTTTTTTTTTCCTCTCCTTTGCTTTGATTGTGCCATTTGTTCTAGTTTCTATAATAAGTTTGTTTGGGCTTGCAGATTTCCAACTGGAAGCTGCTTCTCTTGGAGCCGAGCTCTTGCAGCACAGGGTGGGGAACTGAGGAAGATCCATATGCTTCGCTGCTAGGAAAATACAGGTTTTGCCCCAAAAATGTTTTCCCTGCCCGGGTGGGAGCAACGTGCTGCGACAGAAGCTGAATGTTGTTGGCTATTTGCTGTTGGGGGCTCTTGGTGGGGACCCCACGTTGCCTGTGGTGGGATGTGGGTTGGTGACAACTGTGGTGCGATTCATATATTTTTAAATCAGACGTGGTTTAAGAACAGTTAGTTTCCAGGTTTTAATTGGAACGCTGCTCATTGCTGGCCGGGTGTTTATGGGAATCTGTGTTTGCAGCAGGGTGTACGGGCCGTGGAGCTTGGAAAGGCACCAAGGGCAGATGATGGCTTATTCTGTAGGAAGAAATCACCTCTGGATCACCTGCAAAGCAGCGAGCAGATGCTCAAGGGCAGGGGCAGGGAGTTGGGTGAGCAGATAGCTGGCCAGCTAAGAGCAGAGTGGAAAATCATTAAAGCACTCAGAGGATGTTATTTTTCAACAAAAACTGTTTTGTTCAGGGAAACAAACTGGCTCGGGGTGAGAAGCAGAATTGCTGTATTTAGGGAGCCCCTGGTCATGTCGCTGCTGAAACTTCAGGCGATGAAGACTGAAGGAACTTGTGAGCTCGCCCATCTGCTGTCTGGTGACACCGTAGCTGTGAACGTAGTGATTTCTCCCAACTGCTGACTCCGTCTGGCTCCACTGGCTGCTCCAGCCCCCAGTCCAGCTTTCCTGGGCTCCTCACTGGAAATGGGCTGCGGGTTCACTAATAACCCTCAGGAGGCACCTCCACATCAGCAGCCCTGAATGCGCTTGAGCTCGGGGAGATCAGCCCCTGCGTGGGGGGAAGTGGGAAGGTCACTGGTGGGTTTTAGCACGGCCGATGTCTTCCACCTAAACGAGGTGTTGTAATAACACAGCTTTGGTCAGATGACATACGCTGAGTCACTGAGCCGTGTCCCCACTTTGGGCTGGTGAAGTGCTTTGAGATGCTCCCGTTGACTGCAGCGAGTTTCCAACAGGGCATCTTATGAGCTAGAATAGGTTGCCCGTTCCACAATGCTTTATTTCCCCACCACCTCCCCCCACTTTTGCTGCTCTTCCTTTATCAATCCCCCCATGTCCAATAACACCCTGCCTTTCCCACGTGCAGTCCACGGGCTGCCAGCCCTCCTGAGACCAACCACGGAGGCACCCTAGGTAGAGGAGACCTCATATATATTGTTTATGAGCGATTAGGAGGTGCTGGCAGCCCAGCCGCCATAAATCTGAAGCTGTCATCAGACATGTGGGGAAATGTCTTTTAAACATCAGGGTTTTGGTTTTTTTTACAGCACGCCGTGTGAGCGGCTCTGTCGGATATGGGTCAGGCTGCCGTGGGAGCGGGTGGCAGCCCCGCGGGCGAGGGGGGCTCTCTCCGGTGGGCTTGGGTCTCCCCCTCCCTTTCTTCATTCCTTCTCCCTCCTTGCTGAATGGCATAAATAATGCATCCTTTTTTTCCCTTCCAGTGCTATTTTTAGGGCCAGGATTCTGGGTTAACTGAGTGTACCACTCGCTGCAGCTCTCGGATGCTCGGCAGGCAGCTCACTCCTGCTCCTGCTCTGCAAACTGCTTTTGTCAGTCCTGTTTCTTGTTTTTTCAGAAGTTGCTGAACTGATTTATTTTTTTATTTTTTTTTTTTTACCTTTGCAGTAAACAGATGTGTTTTTATAGCCTGTCCTCCAGTGGGCTTTTTGCGTTTTACTCAAAGGGCTAAGAATTTCCATAAAGTAAATTATATGCGGTGTTTTTCTTAGAAAATGAGAGAACTAATTAATTCGTTCAGTCCTCCTGCCAGAGCCCTTCCAAGATCTCCTCTGGCAGCTCTTCCACGGGCAGTCGCTGGGACTGGCTGGAAAGTTTTCCATTTGTTGGGGGGGGGGGGGAAAAGCTGCTTCGCTGATGCCAAACCACTTTGTGCAGAGGTGCTGACCTGGATGGTTTTTGTCCACGTGTGTGGATGTGGGAGCTGGGGCCAGAGTCCACTCTCCAGCAGCATCAGTGGAAGTTAATAGTTGTGCAATATTTAGCTATAGGGGAATGTAATATTCCAACATATCCCCTGGGGTGTGTCTTTTTCCCCCGTTGCATTCCCACATCTGGAAGAGGAGATGCTCTGCGGGAAGTGCACCAGGAAAAGGGGCAGCTGGACCAAAGGCAGTAGCTGCCCTTTGGGAGTGGGATCCCTGCATCCCGGCTGCGCCATCCCTTTCCTGACAGCCCCTGTCCCCTCTCTGCCAGGAGACTCATGACCCGGCTGGAGGACATGCGCCGGAGCGTGCTGGGGGACGGGGTGAACCGCTGCATCCTCTGCGGGGAGCAGCTGGGGCCACGGGGATCCGCCTGCGTCGTCTGCGAGGACTGCAAGAAGGTGAGGCATCTCCCTGCCACCCGCTGCCGGGTGCAGCCCCCCCGGACCCACACATCCCCCCCTTTGGTCTAAAAACGGCCACCTCAGTCTTTGGGTGCACGTTTTGATTGCCCGCATCCCTCCGTGTGCAGCCCAAGGGGACACCCCTGGGGACTTCTGCAGTCATAGAATCATAGAATCATAGACTCATAGAATGGTTTGGGTTGGAAGGGACCTCAAAGATCATCTAGTTCCAACCCCCCTGCCCTGGGCAGGGACACCTCCCACTAGAGCAGGTTGCTCAAGGCCACATCCAGCCTGGCCTTGAACACTTCCAGGGATGGGGCGTCCACAACTTCCCTGGGCAACCTGTTCCAGTGTCTCACCACCCTCATAGTAAAAAATTTCTTTCTGATATCTAATCTGAATCTTTTTTTCTACCAATTTAAAACTGTTTCCCCTTGTCCTATCATTACCCTTCCTGGCAAAGAGTCCCTCCCCAGCTCTTCTATAGGCACCCTTCAGATATTGAAAGGCCGCTATAAGGTCTCCCCGGAGCCTTCTCTTCTCCAGGTAGTTGATGTTTGTGCTGGGAAAGCTCTCATTAACTGTCTCTCATTAACCATCTCTCATTAATGTGCTCCCAAGGGGTGATGCTGGTGCTGTGGGACCTCTGGGTGGCCGCGGCGTCTCCGTTGCCACCCAGAGCTTTGCTTTCTCTGCAGAACGTCTGCACCAAGTGTGGGGTGGAGACCACCAACAGCCGGCCCCACGCCATCTGGCTCTGCAAGATCTGCAGCGAGCAGCGGGAGGTAAGCACGGCAGCCCCTGGGGGGACATGGTCCCTCCCCTTGGTTTCACCCCAAGCACTGTCCCCACCCCAGACCTCTGGGACAGAACCAGCTCCAGATCAGGGGATGCTCCCAGGGGCTTTCAGCATGTGCCCCAGCACCATTAAACCTTGACCAGCTACTTGAGTCTGGTTCTGGTAGGATGATCTTGTTTTCTAGATACAATGCCTTTTTCTGTTTGTTTATTTTTCCCCAAAATGAAAGTCTTGGGCTGTCTTGGCCAGAGATCAGCTCCCTGCCACCTACAGTCTGCAAAAGCCAAAGTGTTAATTAATTAGTGGGAGGGGCTGTAGGATCACTGTGGGACAGGGGGGTGCAGGGGTGCCCGTCTTCCGTGTTGCCTGCTGGAGGCAGACGCCGCTGATGCAGGGGGGCAAACTCTGCCAGATCTGCACCCATCATCCCCCCAGGATGTGAGTGCCACCCCCCTGCTTGTACCCCCCAGGTGTGGAAACGCTCTGGCGCCTGGTTCTTCAAGGGTTTGCCCAAGCAAGTGCTGCCCCAGCCGATGCCTGTCAGCAAGAACAAGGGACCCCAAGCCCCCAGCGAGCCCAGCCCGTCGGAGCCGCCTGCCCAGGACCCAAAACTCCCCTCCCGTGCACCCACCCGAGGTAGGTACCAGTGGGGTGGTGACCCCCTCCCTCTGTGCCAGGGGCAGGGGTCCTGCCAGCGAGGCGTTGGGTCTTCTCCCCATCGTTTGGAAGGGCAAACCTGAGCAAAAAGCATCCAGAGTGGTTGTGTAGCTGCTGCCCATTTTCTAAAGGGTGCAGAAATTGCCCCACTGCCCTCCCTGTCCCCTGAGCCTTTCTCCAGGCTCTCCAAGTCAGGATGGCCAGGTTTGTAGGGACATCCTCAAGCCAAGAACCCCTGGGTGGGAGTCTGGGGCGGGGGGAGGCCGGCCAGGGGTTCAGGCAGCGCCTGGGTATGAACACGGTGATGCAGAAGCTTAGAAAAAACAAGAATAAAAAAGGAAACCTGGGGAAAGAGTGGCAGCAGAGCCTGGGTTGGCGTTGGCGGGGCAGGTGGGCTCCAGCTTCACCGCTTCTTGCTCTGTTTGTGCCCCCCCCTCCAAGGCCAGGCAGACGCCGGGCCCCCGGCCGAGCAGGACTCTGATGGTAAGCACCGATGTTCTCACCTTCCCCTGTGCTGCTGCCTCGGTGCTGCCTTGTGCTGACCCTCTTCTCTCCCCCCTTCCTTTCCCCATGGTGTTTTCCTGCTGGAGGCTGCAGCGGCAGGACCTCTTCTTGCTGCTGCCACCCACCGCGCGGGGACCGAGTTATTCTGGGGCTCCCCCACCTACTGCACACGCCTGGGCTGAAACGCTGCAATTTAGAGCGCTGAGCAGAATTGCCTCCGTAGGTGGTGTTTCCTGCTGCTGATTGACGGGTGTTTTTCTGGTTACTTAATGGCAGTCCTTAGAAAACCTCCCGTGGAAACTTTAGGAGGCTCTTGGGAGGGCTTGTGCATGTTGGCAAAGGATGGAGAAGCTGAGCTCCCTGCTCTGGGAAATGTTGGGTTTCCCCCACTGAAGTGCCGGTGCCCTGTGCCCAGGCTTGTGCCGTGCCCGGGTACCAGAGCAGGGTGAGGATGCAGGGTCTATTTTTTATGGTTATACCTTGTCCCCTCCAGCAGTCACAGCCCCCCAAAGCCCTGCCTGCATCGGTGTCTTTTTTAGTGATGCCAACCCAGGGGGCTGTGTTATGGGGCTGCAATCAGTGCCTCCTGCTCACAGGGGTGAAGCCACCTTCCTCCCCAGGGTTCCTCTTTCTAACCTCACATACACCCTGCGCTGCTCTGGACCTGTATCCCCCTGACTCTGCTGCTGGCACCGGCAGGAGCTGGGGTTGGGGGTGCTTCCAGACCGGCTGTGTTACTGGGAGTTAATTCGGAGTAATGGCCCCCGTTTTCACAGCTTGGCACAGGAACACCCTGGCGAGGAGATTACCCCATTCCCCTCTAGCACAGGCTGCTCCCAGTTGGGTGATGGTCAGGCTGGGAGCAGTCTAGTGGCTGCAAACCCTCCTCTTCCTCGGCTGCATGGAGGGAGCAGCGGGGTGGGGGTGGTGAAGATATAACACCCCTCCCCTGGAGTGGTCCCCTCTGTCCCACCCTTCCTTTGGCCAAGGGTCTGTGGGGCAGCGATGACCCCGCTGGCAGATGGCTCTCGCTGTGCAGGAGGTTTAGTGGCTGGTTCCCAGGGCTGTGTTTGATTTCCCAGTTGCAGCTGCCTGGGGCTTGGCTCCCTGTTGGGTGGGCTGTGGGCAGGGTGGGTGGCACAGCCTCCTGCCAACCCGTGCTCCCTCCACACCACTCACCATGGGGATGCATCCTACCTGTCTGGGTGAGCCCCATGGCAGGGTACCCATTGGGGGTGCCCATGGGGGGGTACCCAGACTCAACCACAGCCCGTGCCATGGCTCATAGTGCCATGGTGGGGGGCTCCAGCTGAGCCTTGGCACGGCTGTGCCCAGCCCGGTTGTGCTGAGTGATGATCTTCATCTTCCCACGCAGCAGCAGTTGGGGAAACCACTTAATTAAGACTATTTAATCACAATGGTAGCTGGTGCTGTTAAGCTTCCCAGCCTGGCAGCAGACCACTTTTTATTAAGCCACCAGCTCGCCTGCGGGTCGGGGAGAGTTTGTCAGGTCTCTCCTGGTGATCAGCATGCTCCTGACCTGCCCGTGATTTTCCTAAAAATCCCTTGGAAAATTTATTGCATCGCTATTTCTGCACCACAATGCTCCTGGTTGTGGATGCTCCGTTTCCCTTCCTCCCTCTGTGGCGTTTTTATCTCCCCCATCCTCCTCCTCCTCCTCTCTCCCATCTGCAATCTGTTGCTTTTCACTTTCTCCTTGTTCCCGGCGACCCTGAGAACCCAGCCAAGGGTAAACATCCCATTTATGTCACAGCAAAGATTTATACCTGGCGTCTCCGGCGCAAGCCAGGTGAGCGCTGAGACCTTTTCCATCACATCCTTGGGTTGCAATTTATCACCCTGAAGCATCTCGGCACCCTGGAGCATGCGGCTGGGATTTATCCGCTGGGATGGCCGCTGCGGGCTGGCTGGAAGCAAGAGGCAAAGGCAGCTGTTGCCATTATCTCGCTAATAAATGGAAGATGATGAACAAAAAGAAAATATCATCTCCCTGTCCCGGGGTCTGTGGAGATGTAATGGCATGAGGGGTTTGATGGACACCGAGAACTGGCTGATGGATGCCTCTGGTCTTGTTTTCCTGTGGGGCTCTCATGTCCCCATGGTTTGCAGTGTCCTTTGGGTTTTCCCATCCACCGTGTGCTGGTTTGGTGGTGCTGGTTCCCCACTGTCCTGCGGGTGCCAGCTGGCTGTCAGTCCCCAATGCTCTGGGGGTGATGCCACAGCAGCCGCACTCATCCTCCTCCTCCTCTCCTGACACCCTGGGTGTCACCTGAGCAGCTCCTTCAGGGCTGGCTTTGGGGACGGATGGGTGACGGGGGTGCAAAAATCACTGCTGCCTTTATCTCTCTCCCCGCAGGCGGCGACGCGCCGGCGGCTGCCCGGGGCAGCTACGCAGTGCCCAGCCGCAAGCCGGCCGAGGGCAGCGAGCACACCGGCGGGGACACCGACAGCCGCGACTACGCTGCCGAGAGCGGGGTCAGCAGGAGCCCCGGTGAGAGCCATGCTCCTCCTCCAGGGCTTGGAAGGAGAGTGTTGAGGGGCCAGCAGCTGCCCGAGGGTTGTTGCCGCTCGACGGGCAGCACGAAGCGATGCTGAGGGATTTCACGTCCTCCCACGCCGCTCGCCCGCTGTTCTACACCGCTCCCTGGGGTTTGCTGATGGTGGGGGGATCCAGGGGGGAGACCTCGAGGGGGATCCTCATCTCTTCCCCAGCTGCAGGGGGGAGAGGCAGGATTCTGCCGTGCTTTTCCTTATAGAATCATAGAATCATAGAATTGCCCAGGCCGGAAGGGACCTCCAAAGGTCATCTAGTCCGACCCCCCCGCAGTCAGCAGGGACACCCCCAACTAGACCAGGTTGCCCAGGGCCTCATCGAGCCTCACCTTGAATATCTCCAGGGATGGGGCCTCAACCACCTCCCTGGGCAACCTGTTCCAGTGCTCCACCACCCTCACAGTAAAGAACCCCCTCCTAATCTCCAAATTTCCTTGAGAAAGGGGTATTTATGGCCCACAGAAGGACGTGAATTTGAAAAGGTCCATGCATGGTGTGAGAGCTGCAGGTGCAACTGAGTTGGGACCACTAATTAAAATAGTTTTTCATGACAAGGCTCTGCCGAAAGAGCAGGCAGGAGCCAGCCCTGCCTGTGGGAGCCCATGCTTCTCTGGTGGGCGCCTGGCTCGGGATGTTGTTTCTTGTTGCATGAAAATTATATGTGCTCCAAGCTATTGTAAATGGCTGTGATATGAACGGGTGGCTGACAGCCTTCAGTGGGGCCTGAATCCTCCCCAGGTGCCTCCAGAAGGGGACAGGCACTTGTAGAGACCACTTTTCGTGTAGGAGCTGAGCTTGCAAGTTTAACTGGTGGGCCGAAAGAGCAGGCAGGAGCCAGCCCTGCCTGTGGGAGCCCATGCTTCTCTGGTGGGCGCCTGGCTCGGGATGTTGTTTCTTGTTGCATGAAAATTATATCACAGTAAAGAACCCCCTCCTAATCTCCAAATTTCCTTGAGAAAGGGGTATTTATGGCCCACAGAAGGATGTGAATTTGAAAAGGTCCATGCATGGTGTGAGAGCTGCAGGTGCAACTGAGTTGGGACCACTAATTAAAAGCATTTTTCACAACAAGGCTCTGCCGAAAGAGCAGGCAGGAGCCAGCCCTGCCCGTGGGAGCCCATGCTTCGCTGGTGGGCACCTGGCTCGGGATGTCGTTTCTTGTTGCATGAAAATTTGGTGTGCTCCAAGCTATTGTAAATGGCTGTGATATGAACGGGTGGCTGACAGCCTTCAGTGGGGCCTGAATCCTCCCCAGGTGCCTCCAGAAGGGGACAGGCACTTGTAGAGACCACTTTTCGTGTAGGAGCTGAGCTTGCAAGTTTAACTGGTGGAGCTGAAAATGGCTGGAAAATGGCCAGGTCCTCCTTAATTGCTTGGGAGAGAGAGGAATATTCAATGGCTGGATAGCTGGGTAAAATGGAGAGGGGCATTCAGGGCTGCCTAGGCTTCTGCTGTGGGGGGACATTTATGTTTGGGTGGATAAGCCTTGTGAGGGTACACCTGACCTGGGATGTGTGTGCATCCCGGGGGGGATGCTGCTGCTGGTTGGGTGTGCAGGAGGATGGGGGTGTGATGAGCATCAGAGCGATGCTCCACGGGTTTGTTCACCTTCCAGCTCAGCCCGTTGCCTGGCCAGAACCACATCCATCCTCCTTGTTCCACCTCTCCTGCCTCTCCCTTTTTTGGAGGCGATTTGGTGTGGCACGGGGTCCCCCTAGTGAAATGCTCCCTGCTCCAGCACCCATTCCCCGCAAGGCTGGCCCCAAAAACGTGTGGGGCTGAGCCCCTATCTCAACACACACCACCTCCATCCATCACCTAAGCCTCTCTCCTCTCCAGCTGCCCTTCCCTGGCTGATTCCAGCTGCGACACCATTTGCAATGCAGGAAAAGCCCCCAGAGCCCCAAACGCTGTGCCTGATTCTCCCTTCTCCTTGCAGGCGTGAAGAGGACCAACTCCATGCAAGCCCAACGGCCACCTCCACCAGCAGCTGCTGGCCCCGCTCCCGGTCCTGGTCCAGCAGCACCCACAGGTAGGACATGATGGGGATGCAGCCAGGATGCTCGGTCCCTTGTGGGGGACATTCCCATGCCTTGCCATGGGCACAGACCTCCCCTTGCTTGGGGCAGTGCTGGTGCTGGGGTGGGAGAGGGATGAAGAGCATCACTCAGGCAAGCATTCCAGTAATTCTAATCCCTCTCCAGCACCGCCAGCAGCAGGAAGACCAGGTCCTGGGGCAGCTGGCCGGTTCCCGGAGAGACAAGGTAAAATTTGGCCACCTGCAAGGGGCTGGGGGGCAGAGCGTGCCAGGGGCTAATGGGGTCCCTCCCGCAGCGAGCCCACCGCTGGGACCCCAGGAGCCAGCCCGTGCTGCCGCCAGGGAGGAGCGAGGAGGGGGCTACGCTGTGCCCCCCGCCAGAGAGGAGAGGCCAGCCCGGCAGCCCCCCGCCTTCTCGCAGCCCCCCGCCGTCCCACCGGCACCCACTGCCCCGCTGCGGCAGCCACCCCAGGAGGAAGAGGAGGAGGACGCCAACAGCTACGACTCTGATGAAGGCAGTACGTACCCTCTGATGCCCAGCTGGAGGGGAGGGAGCCGTTTCTTTGGGAAAGCTGGGATTTTGGGGAGGTGGGTGCTGTGGAACTGTGACTTGCAGTGTAAGGTCAGGGGTCTCTGGCAGGGAGAACCATCAGGGAATGCTGCTGTGGGGCTCGGAGCTGGGGCAGGGTCTCACAGGCTGTCCCTGCTCAGTCATTTCAGCCCAGCTTGTGGGATCTTCAGTCGGTTTTGCACCAAATGACTGGGCTGTGAGGTGTGCTGGTTTGGGCTCTGTGCTTACGTGACTTTTCCATTTCCAAATTTGAGTCCCAAAGGCAGCTGCCTCTTCCCATCAGAGTGTCCTTTGCTGCGAGAAACACCACTGTGGGAAAGGCTTGGTGGCTTCAGTACCTTTCTGAGATGACTTTCAGTTATTTACTCACCAAAAAGGGGATTTGTTGCATGAGGATGAGTGTCCATGGCAGGGCAGTGCTTCACCTGTCCAGCCTCTTCCCAGGATGGGAAGAACTGCTCTGAGCCGGCAGAAATTGTGCTTGGGTAGAAGCAGATGGACCCAGCTGAGGTTCTGTTGTCCACTCTTTATCCCTGTGATCTTTTCCTGGTGAACGCACGAAGACAAGCACAAGCAGGTTTCCAACAAGTCAAAACAGGGACCAAACACTGAGCCCCAAACCTTGGGAGGAGATGCTGGCCACCTGAGCTGCAACACCTTCTCGGGGTGTTCCTGAGGTGGCATTGGTGCCCTGAGCTGTGCCCAGGGAGGGGTTTGTACCGCTACATCCTCCTTTGCCTGGGAATATTCGAGTCAGCTCCAAAGCCCAGGCAGTTCCACCTTTGCAAAGCTTTGATGACCAGAGTTCATCGATCTGGCTGGATTTGCATGTGGCAGTTTGGCCGATGCCGGCGCAGACCCACATGCTTTAAATGATGGCTTTACATTTGAACCGCAATTCTTTCCAATTATTACTAATCAAGGCTGATTAAACAATTATTGGCTGAGGTTTTAACGAGGTCCTATTTCCATCTCCTCTCTCTCCCCTCTGCTGTCAGCTACACTGGGAGCACTGGAGTTCAGCCTGCTCTACGACCAGGAGAACAGCTCGCTGCACTGCACCCTCATCAAGGCCAAAGTAAGTGGTCCTCTTTGTTTGTTTGTTTGTTTGTTTTTTTCTCCTTTCTTTCACCACTCTTTTTTGTTGTTGTTGTTGTTGTTTTTTACTCCTTTCTTTCACCGATTTAAGTCCAGCTGGCTCCCAGTTTCCCCAGTGCGATGGGATGGAAGCGGTGTGGATGCTGGTGGAGGCTGCTCCCCTGGGACACCCAGCCTGGGCTGGTGCTGCTGCTCCTGGCTGGAAAGGAGAATTCTGTGGGGCTTTTCTTTGAGTGGGTCTGAGAGGTCTGTGGGGCTTTTCCTCCAGTGGGTCTGATCTGTCTCGGGGCAGAGAGGGAGGCTTTTGTCTTGCTTAACACATTTTCTCTTTACTGAGTTGCTTCATGGGTAGATTTTTCTCTTCCCTGGCTCTGCTTGAGGAGGACTCATGGACTGTTTTTTCTTAATTATCTTTTAGGGCTTAAAACCAATGGACTCAAACGGCCTGGCGGATCCCTACGTCAAACTGCACCTCCTGCCCGGAGCCAGCAAGGTGAGGCATTGCCTGGTTTTGGGGGTGTTGTGGGCTGAGGATGGAATAGAGGTTTCTCAAAGCCCCCCTGAGGTCCTTTCCCTGCGTCAGAACCTCCTCCTCTGGATTTCTCCACGCAGTCGCCCACTGCTGCTCTTTTACCCGGGAGGTATCTCTGAAAAGCGATGATGCTTGCAGATGTTCTCCCGTACCCGAGGAACAGCTCATCCTGCAGGCAGGGATCTGCTCAGGGATAGAAGGGAGCTCTGGAGGAGGTGACACTCTTAATGCATCGCAAAACATCTGACACAAAATGTAATTATTACGGGAGTTTGAAAAAGCCGTTTGCTTTGGAGCTGTGGCATTAGAGCTGCGAGGAAATAACCACTGAATAAACTCTGAGTAAATTCCCCCAACATCCAAGAAACCACTGGAAATCTCCCTCCCCAGCCTGGCTAAGCTGATCTCAGTGGGAAAGCCTTTGAGGAAGGGGTGGCCACGACTGGCCCGGTGCCTGAGGGGTCCTGGATCCTTGCTTGGGGGCTGCAAAGGTCTTTCCTGCAGCAGAGTTTTGTTCAGAGGAATTAAATGTAAAACAAAGCGGGGAAACTGATAATAAACCCATTGGATTGATATTTACAGATTCACTTTATTTGCAGGGGCCACCTGCAAATGCCACCTTTCTGGCCTCGCTGTCTCGTGCAGAGTAAATCAAGGTGTCGTGGTCTTGCGAATTGCTCTGATTTCAGTTGCTCTTTTGTTTGCTGATCTTTCTTTCCGTTTTTTTAATTGCTCACGTGTGGTTGTGGAAAAACACACAAACAAGTGACAGAGCTCCTCATTTCCCCAGCTGTCACCTCCTTCAGACCAGGAGAGCTGCTGCCTGAGCCCCGCACAGCCTGCCCTGTGTGACTCTTTCTTCTACGAGTGCCCTTGATGGGGCAGACCTCAGGCAGTGGAAAAAACCAGGCAGTGAAGTCTGTCCTGGCCACTGCAGGTGACAGAGTCCCCAGTTGCTTGCGTAAAGGTCCACCTTGTCGGGTTGGTGACACTCACCTGGAGCTGATGGCTCGCCGTCGCGACAGCCTCAGCAGGCAGTGGTGACGTCCTGCAGAGTCCTCCGTGCCCCAGTCAAACCACCTCTTTGTGAGCCAGAAGTGATGGAGCGTTTAATTTACACTCCTCTGCCAGGAGCCTAATTTTAGGTGGGGAGGGAGTTCTGGGGTGTGATTGTGCCTTGTTTTGTCTTGATGCCGCAGTCGAATAAGCTGCGAACGAAGACCCTGCGCAACACCCGTAACCCCGTGTGGAATGAGACCCTGGTGTACCACGGCATCACAGATGAGGACATGCAAAGGAAAACACTCAGGTAAGGGGAGGAGCTGGGGGATCCCCCAGGACGGTGGGATGGGGGGACCATGGGTCTCCTCGAATGGAGCATCGCAAGCCAGCCTGCCTCGGGAGGGCATTGGCAGCAAAGTGCAGCACCTGAAAATGCAGAGTTTTTTGTCAAATTCAGTATCCTTCACACTTCGATTTTGATGGTCCTTTTTAAAAAGAGAAAGAAAGGCGTTTTGACCCTGTCATTTAATATCAAATTATTGGCATTACTATTATTCTTACCAGCATAGAGATCTGTGTATTGCATATCTGTGAGTCGTTTGCCAGTGTCCCAGCAAAACATTTAGATGTGTCTAAAATTTTGGCATTTACTTCCTACAGGAAATTTCCACTTTTTGATTTCCTTGCCCCATCACAGAACATGTATCAGAAATGTTGATTTTTCTGGCAAAACAATTTTGTTTTCCTGACTGCTTTTTGGCCAGAGGAGAGACAGAAGGACTGTACTTTGCTTTGTCTGCCCCTGAGCAGTGCCCTTGCAGGAGTGGTTTTGTGCTCTGGGGTCAGGTAGTGCTCCAGCCTGGCTGATGTTCACCTTTCTTCTTCCCTTCAGGATCTCCGTGTGTGATGAAGACAAGTTTGGCCACAATGAGTTTATTGGAGAAACTAGAGTTTCCTTGAAAAAACTCAAAGCCAATCAGAAAAAGAACTTCAACATCTGCTTGGAAAGAGTAATACCAGTGAGTTTCTGTGAAATGTCTTCTGCTACTGTTAATCAGTGAGTTTCTGTGAAATGTCTTCTGCTACCATTAATGGTGAGGTTGCTAACAAATGTGAGGGAGCTAGTGGTGAGCTTGGAGCTGGAACCAGCCAAGAGCTGTAGGTGCCTGACTTCACTGGCATCTTTAGGAGTTGGATTCCCACCCATGTCTGGGCTGATGTCATACATCAAGGCCAGGAGATAAAAACGTGGTGGGAATCCAGGGGAAGTGACTCCAGGGACATCCCCAGTGGCCACAGATCTGCTGGCGTTGCCAGCCTATGCTGGTGTATGTCACACTGGAGGAGATGGCAGGTTGCTCCACCCCTGAGCTCTGCTCCCCAGTGCTGTGGGTAAGGTGCTGACTCTGCTGAGGTGGAGGTTGATGGAGCAGATGAATGTGCCTGAGCCCCCTTTCACTCCAGAGGTCAGCGAAAGAGCTGGGTTGGGCTCTGGGGGGTGTTTTTGTTGTAGGATGGTGCCTCTCCCAGCTGCAGTCACTCACAGCAGTCTCTTTTTTTTTCCCTTCCCCATCCAAGATGAAGCGTGCTGGCACGACCGGCTCATCCCGTGGGATGGCGCTGTATGAAGAGGAGGTAAGCGTCCTTGGAGGACAACGTGCTCCATGAACATTTCACCCATCTTCTCTCACGTTCGAGCTGCCATTTTCTCCCCCCTCCTGGGGATACAAGGTTCCCTTCTGTCTGTCTTGTCTCATCTGCTCTGCAGTTGACAGTCTTCCTTGCTCAGTCCCCATGTCCCCATCTCTGGTCGCTTCCTCTTGCAGGTAGATCGCGGTGGGGACGTGGAGGAGCGTGGGAAGATCCTCGTGTCCCTCATGTACAGCACCCAGCAGGGTGGCTTGATCGTTGGCATCGTACGCTGCGTGCATTTAGCAGCCATGGATGCCAACGGGTACTCGGACCCCTTCGTTAAACTGTAAGTGAGAGCTGGGGCTGGCGCGGTGGGGCAACGCATGGTCATGGGGTAACACATGGTCATGGAGCCACCCACTGTCCTTGAGCAGTAGCTGATGCTCTGAGAGCTCCTTCCAAAACCACTGGAGAAAGGGAGAGTGTTTCCCAAGCACCTTGAGACCTCACACAGAACTCAGCTGCCCACCAGAGATGCCTGCATAAGGTGGGAACGTTCTGCTTGAGTCCCCCTGCCATGGCTGAAGCTTGGTGAGACTGACCCAGCCCTTAGGTCCATCTGCTCCTTGTAGGTTCCCAAACGCAGAGACCCAACCCTGTAATTGCAGAGCTGGAGGACAAGAGGTCCTTCTCCCCCAGCTCTGACCCATCACGACTGCAGGACAGGGGTGGCTTGATGTCCCTCTGTGCGTGATGAGGAGCCCAGGGAATGCCCTGCCTTGCTTGTCCCAGTCCCATGCCATGTCTCTGCTGCAAACAAATCATTTTAATTAATACAGACAGTGGTGTCTTCTCGAGCAGCAGCGCATCTGTCGGTGCTCTTGGTGGTGGAGGCAGGTGATGGGGGAATAAGATCATTTTAACTCAAATCTCATAAACTGTGACACAGAGAGGACCCTGCAGTCATTCCTGGTTGTGGTTTTCGTTGCTGTTTTCTCCTTGCCTTCAGGAAAAAACCTCTGTTCTCCCTAAAACTCATTCAATAACTCCCGTGTTGAACATTTTGCACGTCTTTTTGTAGCTGAGTGCAACTGAATAGTTTCCCTTCTCACTCTCTCGCTTATTTTTTTTTTTATATTTTTCCATTCCCACAAACAGAATGGAAAAAAATTTCCATTTTTAAATCAGCTTCCGATGCAGATCTAATTAATGCCAACTCTACAATTTAATTCTGGGTCTGCAGCCAGGCTGTGAAACCCAAACCCTAATTTTTCCCCACGTTCTCTAGATGAACCTACCTTGGCTGAGGATGCTAGTCTGTGTGGTATTAAACAGTAATGGGCTATTTCTAGCGTTTTTCTTTTTTTTTTTTTTCCTCCCCATGTCTGCATGCGTTCACACATCCTTGGCTGGGTTTTCCAGTGGCCAGGCTCAGTGATTGGGCGTGCGATTGCCCCCATCTGCTGGTGACCAGCCCAGCTGCTCGTTTTCCATATTCCCCGTTTCAGCCAGTCCACGCTGTTGGCCTCAGCAGGTTCCTCCCCAGCAAAACGCAGAGTTTACCTGCTTTTGCTCCATAAAACGCTCATAACCATTTCTTTTGGCATGGCCTGGGGGAAAGAAGACCTGGGACCAGTGCGTGGTTTGGAAGGACATCAAGGATGCAGGTGCAGGCTCGTTGCTTTCTGGTGTCTGAACGGTACCCAGCTGCTCTGATCAAGAGATGCTCCACCAGAAAGGTTTCTGTCGAGCTTGGTGCTCTGTGCAGAGCAGGTCATTGTGGTTTCCCAGGTCTCATCTGGCAATCCAGGGGGAGAAAAAAAAAATATTCAGGATTTTGCTCACTTTACATTTATTTTAAATGATTTTAGAAGGTGAGAAGGTAGACTGGATAACCCATTTCTTTGTCTTAAATAGCTTCAGTTTCTTTTTTCTAGCCCCAAAACTCACTGTTTTGGTGAGAAGGTAGACTGGATAACCCATTTCTGTGTTTTAAATCATTTCAGTTGCTTTTTTCTAGCCCCAAACCTCACTTTTTTTAAGCTTATAAATTCACGCTGTTCTTGAACTTGAGTTTTGAGCTGTTTTCTGTTGCCCCCAGTTGGCTGAAACCTGACATGGGAAAAAAGGCCAAGCACAAGACACAGATTAAGAAGAAAACATTGAATCCTGAGTTTAATGAGGTAAGCACAGATCTAATTTATATATTATTAAATAAACTCATCCAATTATGATGTTTTGCGAAGGAGGTGGAAGATAAACTCCCCAAGGCTTTAGTTCCTCACTCAGCCTCCTTTCCCCCTTCTGCTCCCAAGGAATATTTTGGGAGTGACTTCACCATGGGAGGTCCATACACACCAAAACCTCCCTGTTGCTGACTCTGAGTCACCTCACCTGGGGGTGTGGGTGGGATGAGCATCCCCAAGGGGTCCCCATAGATGGTGCTACCTTGATGGGACATCTGCAAAGTGCTCACTTAGATACAAGGGGTGAGCTCAGCTTAGAATCATAGAATGGTTAGAGTTGGAAGGGACCTTAAAGAACATCTAGTTCCAACCCCCTGCCATGGGTAAGGACAACTCCACTAGAGCAGGTTGCTTAGCTTATGGGTTTGTGCCGTGTGCTGTGATCCTGGGAGGAGAGGTGGCCACAAGGAAGGAGCACTTGCTCCTCATTAGTGTATTTTAAATATCCTTTCACTGGATTTTGAATTCAGGCTGTAAGGAGAGATCACTTGCAGCTCTTCAACTGCAGTTTTCTTTGTGTACTTTTCTGGGACAGTTGGGGTGATTTGGGTGTTCTTCTTCTGCAGGAGTTCTTCTATGATATCAAACACAGCGATCTGGCCAAGAAGTCACTGGACATTTCTGTCTGGGATTATGACATCGGAAAATCGAATGATTACATTGGTGAGCTGCAAGTCTCTGCGCTCTGGGGTGAGGTTTTGATGCCCAATATAGAGCTTGCTGTACGGGAGGGACGCATAGGTCGCCTGCCCTATGAGGAACCCCAGGCTGAGCTTTGAGGTGGGACCATGCAGGTGGGTTGGGTGCTTGTATCAGGCTGTCAAACACAGTACACCCCATCTCCAGCATCCTGTGGGGTCTTCTGTGCAGGGCAGAGCAGCTCTAGTTGTTTCCTCTACATTTTAAATACAGGAGGTGGAGAGAAATGCTCCAAATGTGGGGTTTGTCCCCATGGAAATGGTTTACTGGAACATCGACATCCTCTCTGAATATGATGACTCTTCTCCTTTTCTTCCAGGCGGCTGTCAGCTCGGCATTACGGCTAAAGGGGAGCGCTTGAAACACTGGTATGAATGTTTGAAGAACAAGGACAAGAAGATTGAACGCTGGCACACCCTCCAAAACGAGAACCACGTTGCCAGCGATTAAAGGGAGCTGCTGCCCCAACCTCCCCAGACGGCCCACCCTCTGCCAAGCCCCTGTAGATCTCTGATGTCTGTCTTCCAGCGCAGTCATGCCTTGCTACACGCCTCTGGTCCCAGGGCAGCAAAGCTCTTCTGTCTCCTCCAAGCATCCTCTATGCCCTGTCCTCACCTCCACCAGAAAACTAACCCAGATCTTTTATATTCACTTCCTCTGGTTTTTGGTTTGATTTTTTTTTTTTGGAGGGGGCGGGGGGAAAGTGGGGGGTCATAGAGTTATCCCGGTGTGTGATTTTGTCAAGCAATAGTTACCCTCTGACTGTTCCTCTTTCTCACTAGTCTCACGCACGCCGTGATAGCCTTCCCGTTGTGTGTGTGTGTGTGTGATGCTCTGTGTTCCTCAAGCCTCCTGCTCCTGTGGCTTGTCCCATCACCACCAGCTTCGTGGCTCCTTTATCTCCCAGTGGGATGTGTGGCCTGGCCATACTCTGGTCCAGTGTTGGAGGAGGGGTTAAGTGCTGGTGTCAGAGCATCTCCCTGTTCTGCTTGTGTGATATCAATACCTCAGTTGCAATAATGACAAAAGCTGTTTGGCTTTGGTGTGGGTCGTAACCGCAGCCCGGTGTCTGTGTTGTCGTGATTAGGCTAAAGCCGGTGTCACTGATGTAACCCTGCGAGTCCTGCTTGAGCTTTAGTTCTGAGTTGGGTACACTTGAGCAATATTGTGGTACATCCTTTTGCTGAGAAGATCCGCCAATAATACGATCACGAGGGACAGGGAGCCCCTCTGTGCTCGCAGGGCAGCAGACGTGTGGGTCGGGGCCTGTTCGTTTGCAGCCGCCGCGTGCGGTTCCTTCCACCCGAGGAACTCGCTCCCCATTGCTGTAGGAGCCCACCTGTGTTTCAAGCTTGTGCCTACCTCCCCTTCATCCCTCTGCACAGTAGTGACTAGCTGGACCCCGAGGGCAGTCCCTGGGGCCCTCCTCAGACTATCCTTGCCGTTGCCGACCGTTGGCCATACCAAATTCCGGAGGGAAGCCAAGGGAGGAGAAGCTTCCCTCCACCTAGCTGTTGTGTGCAAGGATTATTGCTTTAAAGTACCACAAACACTGAAATTAGCTGGAACAGTTAGAGGTCTTCCAAACTTTGGGGTTGTTTTTTTTTCTTGTTGTTGTTGGGGGTTTGGGGTTGTTTTTTTTTTTGCAAATCTGCACAAGAACCGTGGTCTTCAACCTGCGCTTTAATGATCGTCTGGAGGTGTTTGATTTGTTCTCAGTAGCAGCAGAGTCACGACGCTCTCGGGCTGATGCTGGTGGGGTTTGGTGCCATCCGCTGTCTCCGATGTCAAGCATAGCAATGTCGATAGCAGCACAATAAGCACGACTGGAATATATACCATCGGTCACCACGCATGTCGTATGGAACACCAACCCCAGCCCCCTCGGTCCACGCTGTCGTCCCATGACTTCCCTTCCAACCACTGTTGCTGTAGGAGCCCACCTGTGTTTCAAGCTTGTGCCTACCTCCCCTTCATCCCTCTGCACAGTAGTGACTAGCTGGACCCCGAGGGCAGTCCCTGGGGCCCTCCTCAGACTATCCTTGCCGTTGCCGACCGTTGGCCATACCAAATTCCGGAGGGAAGCCAAGGGAGGAGAAGCTTCCCTCCACCTAGCTGTTGTGTGCAAGGATTATTGCTTTAAAGTACCACAAACACTGAAATTAGCTGGAACAGTTAGAGGTCTTCCAAACTTTGGGGTTGTTTTTTTTTCTTGTTGTTGTTGTTTTGGGTTGTTGGGGGTTTGGGTGGTTTTTTTTGCAAATCTGCACAAGAACCGTGGTCTTCAACCTGCGCTTTAATGATCGTCTGGAGGTGTTTGATTTGTTCTCAGTAGCAGCAGAGTCACGACGCTCTCGGGCTGATGCTGGTGGGGTTTGGTGCCATCCGCTGTCTCCGATGTCAAGCATAGCAATGTCGATAGCAGCACAATAAGCACGACTGGAATATATACCATCGGTCACCACGCATGTCGTATGGAACACCAACCCCAGCCCCCTCGGTCCACGCTGTCGTCCCATGACTTCCCTTCCAACCACTGCTGTTTTCTGCTGGTGTGCTGTCATGTGGCGCGTTCCCAATTCAGCTGAGCTGTTTCTTTTGAATTGGATGAGTTATTTTCCTATTCTTGATACTTTTTCCTTTTTTTTTTTTTTTTTTTAAATTATTTTGTATTCCCGCCCCCCAGCAGAATTTGCTCTGAGTGCTGAGTTGCATTGAGCACCTCTGCAGGGCTGGGATTGCTGGTGATGCTGACATCGCTGCCTGATGCTAAACCCCTGGAGCGATGCTGCTGTGGGGCAGCCCTTCCCCCAGCTCAGGGCTTGCACTGCCACGGAGGTCTGCTTTCCCCTTGGCTGGCCACTGCCCTCTCCTTGTAGCCAGCTCTCCACGAGGAGACACCTTTGGACCATGGATGGGGAAAGCAAACCTAAACCAGCATGTGCATCCTCTGCTCCATTCAGCTGGAGCTGAGACAGCTCTTCCATCACCCCAGACTCCATGGTGTGGCATGGTCACCATGATGGGAGCTGCTTGGGGCATGATACATGGAAGAGTGTAATGGGAGGGGACACTCCAAAAATGGCTTTCCTCTCCCTTTCACGCAGTTCTTGACTCTACACCAGTAAATGGAACAGCCCAGAGCCCCCGAGCTACACTGCCTTCAGCATGAGCTCTATCGAGGACCCTGATGGAAATGACCTGGTTCTTTTGGATCATTTCCCTCTGTGTCCAGCGCTGCCTCATGCAGTGGTGCCAGGGCCCTGGCTGCTCTGGGCAGGGATGGTTTGGCTGTAGGGTGCTGCCATCATCCCTTCTGGAGTGATGGACCTGCCTAAAATCTTTGCACAGCCCTTGCCTATCTCCAAGTTGGGCATGGTGCACTTCCAAGCTGTGTTTGGGAAATGTATGGCTGGGGATTAAATTACCTATAAAATGGAAAAAAAAAAAATCCGAGCAATACTTCAATTTATTCCAGACCTGCAGCAGCCCCGTCTCCTTTGCGTGTGCAGAATAATTAAATTAAGGTTGCCTTTACCCATGTCCTGTATGGACATCCTCTGCTCAGCCTGCTTTCCCTTCAGACAAATGATACTCAAATAATTTCTTTGCACCCATAAAAATCAAGTGCAACTTGCCCATCCCCTTCTCGGTGTTGTGCAAACCACAGTCCTCGTCTCTGTTTGCCACCTTCTTTTTGAGTTTTTCTGATGGTAATTTCTGCCCTGAATGACTTCTTTTCGTTGTAAATAAAGCATGCACGTATGGATTGGGAATGGTGATTAAAAAAAAAAAAGCCTCTTCTACTGCTGTTTGCATTCAAACTTGCATGCAGTGATTTTACAGCAAAATATCAGTTTACAACTATTAAAAGAAAAAGAAAATGTTACACAGGAACTAGAAATACTCCAGTCTTCCGCTGCATGCAGCACAACATCCTCTCTTGATGTGGTATCTAATAAAGTGAGACTACTGGAAAAGAAAAAAAAAACAAAAACACCAAACCATGATGTTTTTTGACTTCTTTAATTCCCTGTGGGAACGTGACCCCCCAGCATGGACAGATAGAGGTGGGCAGTTATCCTGGTTGTGGGAATTTGTGGTGGGCTTGGGAGAGCTGGAAAGTTGGGTAGGATTCAAGAGGTTGAGGAGGAGTTGGGGGTGGTGGGGTGTAGTCTCTTCTCTGTGGGGAGAGGGCCCAGCCCTGCTCAACTTGGCTCCCTGGGGGACAAGGGGGATGGCACAAGTGGGCACACATCCTGGGTGCACAGTGGGCATCGATCCTTTGTACACAGCCAAGACATACCTGGGCTCCTGGGTGCAAACACGACGGGCACACGCTGCTGGAGAAGACCACGGTGCACGTGGCAGTGGTTGCTCCTTTGTGGTGCTTCTGTGTGCCCCCTCGAAAAGCAAATCCACCCAGAAATGAACCTCCTGGTGCCCTTCTTCACACCCCAGCCCTTCATCCCAGTTTCCCTGTGTAGCTGCAGCTCCTGTTGTACCACTGCAGGACAACACCCCCTCCAGCCAGAGCACCACCTGAGCTGAATTTTTCTCCTTTTTCTTATTTTTTGACATTTTTTAGGCTGAATTTCCAGCAGATCATCATGGAAGGGTATGCCAGGGTGATGGGAGCCCTTGGGACGGCAGTGGGTGGTGGATCTATGGGCTTGGTGCCCCAACCCTGGGCAGGGGGATGTGGGTGGTGGCCTTGCCTCTGTGGGGACACCTGCACCCTCCATGTGCCCAGAGAAGCCCCACTGGGGACAGAGCTGAGCCATGGAGAGCGGCTGCGTGTTGAGTCTGGCGCCAATGCCCAGAGAAAGCAGCAGATGTCACTGATGCTCCAGGTATGGCACGGGAAAGACAGGCAGGAGATGCCAGAAGAATGCCCATGACCGGGGAGGTGAGTATCCCCTGGGTGCTGGTGTCCCCTCAGCACCCTCCATCCTGGTGATGGCACCCCCTCAGTATCACCCATCTTGGTGGTGGGACTCCCACACATGTTCAGCAGCACTCATTTTGGTGGTAGCCCCCCAAATGCGGTCTCCATACAAGCTGTTGCTGAGCCTCGAGGGATAATAGCCTTAGGGGGGGTGTGGAGCTGCCCCAGCCCCACGGCTGCTCCCACACACCACAGATTTAACCCCTGGTTTCCCCAAGGCGAGGCCAGTGGTCGTTCTTCGGCAAAGGTCTGTGGGCAGTTAAAGCTCCCTGAGGTGTCTATGCTGATGAGGTGCCACCACAGTGCACTGCAGCTGGCTTGGAGATAAGTGCCCAGAAGAGACCTGCAGGCCAGGGTCTACCTTCCTTACCTGAGCCACCAGTGGTCAGCTGGACTTACCTTGAGCAAAAAGGCCAAAGAGGCAAGTTAGATACCACTTTGTGGTAATTAGGTTGTAATTACAAAAAGCAGCAGCAGTGACCAGTATAGAAAATCACTGAGATATTTTAAATTGCCGTATGGTGCTAACTGTATGTACTGTTCTTAATGAAGACCTTGAGCTTTCCCACCAGTCAGGAGAAGACCCTGTGTTCTCATTCACAGCAGCAGGAAAACAACCAGAGGTTAAGCACAGACAGCCCTGACTGAACTGTCTGAGGTGACATCTTTTTTGGGGGCAAACTCCAAGGAAAAGGACAAATATCACACTAGCTCCCAGTAAGCTGCAGGATGTCTTGGCATGTCTTCAGAGGACAAGGAGAGGGGATGGCTTGTGAGGACATCGAGCACAAAGCTCTTTGGTTGTGTCATGCTGGATGCTAAGAGAGTTGAGCAGAGAAAATGGGTCATTTTCCAGAAAGAGTGAAGCTGTATGTGTGCTCGCTCCCAGTGACTGCCAGTGGTGGTATTTTGGGTGAGCTGGGTGGAAGAACGAGCAAAACACCATGTCCATAACCGCCCACTGCACTGATAACAGCAGGGACAATTGCATCCCCCTTTTCTGCTGCTAAAGCTTCTTCTCTTCCAAACGGCAGGAAATAGCTGGGGCTTTGTCCTCTGGAAAAAAAAAAAAAATAGTTCCCAGAGATGTCTAGCAGGCTTAAAATTGAGCTTTAATTTCCTTTTAGTAGTGTTTTTCAGCATGAGAGCTTCCCATTGATTTTTCCTCCTTGCTGCTGCCTGATGTTGGTGCGGCAAGTGGCCAGCCGAGGGGTCCCAGCAGAGAGGTCCCAGACGAGAGGCCACCCAGCTCCGGCTGAGAACCAGAGCCAGCATCTCCAGTATCCCCTGCAATTAAGATGCCACCTTGATTAATTGTGGGTGAGGCATCGCCAGCTGTGGTCGGCTGTGAAGTCCTGAATGGAAAGTGCTTCAAAAGAGAGAAAGAGGCATTTTGAGCAAACCCATGGGGATAAGAGAGGGTCCTTTGTTCCCCCTGATTGATATTTCTGCTCCCATGTTCTTCTCAGCCTCTCTGAAAAGGAAGCCCTTGGATTGCAAATTGCGTTTGATCAGGACCGTTATTTGCATGTTCTGCTTTTGTAGGTAGCTTTCCAGTTTTAATTACATCTCAGAACATCTGCGTCGTTCTGCTGTTCCAACCAGTTTCCTTGCGTGCTAATTAGATTTAGACCTTCAGTGCAATCAATAGATTCTCATCTCGGTACTGGCCAAGCCAGTCATGACCAGTAATTTACAGCTCTAGTTGTTCTGAAATCAATACAGATTTGCTCTTCATTGAGAGGGCTGTAAAACACGGTGACAGCAGCCACGCTAAGCAGTTGACATGGAAGCAGGTCCCTTGCTGGTCTTGGAGAGTGGCCAGCACAATCCGAGAGGAGAAGCTACAGGACTGGTGGGCAGAGCAAGAACTCTCCTGCTGAATGAGGACTGGGCTGAAGGTGTTGACACTGTTGGCCTCTTCCTTCTTTCCTGGAGTAGGAGTTGCGAAATACAAGATATGGCCAAATGGCGCCTCTCC